TATATATATATTTAATAATAACAAAGTCCACATTTACAGAGTGCAATATTAGAATTTCAAACAAAATGGTTTTCAACTTGAATTTGATCAAGACATACAAATATCATAATCTCTTATATTACCTATAAGTATTATAATACTTGCAACTGAATCAAGCAATATAGCAGTGTGGGATTGCCATATTCATGAAGAGAAAAAAATGTTTGTTCAATCCGTCATGTTTGTTTGAATTTTTAAAAACAAATATGACATTTACCCAATATGCATTATCGTCATACAAATTTTAAATGGAATCGCTCGGTTCACCTACAGAAAACAGCTCTGAACACGAACACCAAAATGGCCGCCAGTCATCAATACAATTACATGGCAATAAAAATAGACGTGCAAGTGTTAGTAATCATTTGTGTCAAGTTTGAATACTACCAGTCAAAGAGAAAGAAAGAATGAAACACAAATTAGTAGTTCCTGATATAGGATTGTGTCCAAAACGATAATGATAACGATAAACAAAAAAAAACTTAATGCACACGACAAGAAAAATAAACATTATAGAAATGTTTAGACAAGGGCCACAGATGAAGACTTAAAACTTGGGAAAGGAACTCAATAATTGTTTAGCACAACCTTATGTAATAATATTCACATATTTATATATGTCTATTTTTAACATATTAAGCACAATTATTCTACCCGGGGGCATACTTACTTTTGTCAATCCCTCAAGACCATGTTTTGAACAGTTATATGCTACAGAAGTCTTCAATACTCTTTTGCTTGATATAGATGATATATTTATAATACGACCCCACCCTGGTAAACAAACATCGAATACAATAATGTAACAACACAGAAAAAAACAAATTTGGAATTGGTCTGTGATTAAGAGCTTTTCTGAAATTTACTACGCAAGCTACTGTAAAAACTTAGGCAGTTTAGATGTGAGCAGATGACCTTTAAAAAATATCCATGATATGCTGTATTCAATGGATTGTTGTTAGTATGTGTGTAGTCTGTGGTCGTTGCTAGAAACCAAAAACATATAACAACAAGCCATGCATGGCACAGTCCCTGTTAGTTATCAAATTTAAGATACATATGTATATAGTTTTGTTTATAGTAATATAGTTGGAACATAAACATGTCAGAAATATGGATCCAGAAGATGATGCTTGATTATTTAACATTAAAATGATTGACATTTTGTATCTGATTGTCAAATGAGTACTTGTCAATATTGAGAACAATTGCTCTGGAACAGCATTAATTAAAGCAAAATGACTACTAGTAGGCCATTTTGAATACATTTATATATCTATAACATGATGTAAAAGGGATATATAAACTATGAACATAATCAGTCAAGACATATCAGAAGCACATTCATTTAAACAAAATGGCCGCCAGTCAGCTATTTTCAATCCGATCTGAAAAATAAAATGACGTGCATCAGGAACCCATAAACTCTAATGTATTTATCAAGTTTGAACAAAATCCATCCATAAACGCCATCCATAAAATTTGATCATAATCATATGGCACTAGAACTGCATTCATTAAAACAAAATGACCAGTTTTAAATTGGATCTGAAAAATAAAATTATGTGCATCAAGGTTCCATAATGTCCAACGTATGTACCAAGTTTGAACAAAATCCATCTATAAATGCCAAGATCCAGTTCTGCAATGCCAGGATTGCTTTATTTTTGATGATTTTTTAGCACAAAAATGGCTTCCATTTCGCCATTTTGAATCAGACAGTCAAACAAATATACATGTATCTTTGTCATGATGTATAATGAATATATAAAATTTGAACATAATCAGTCAAAGCATGGCAGAGATATGGCACTAAAACTACATTCATTAAAACAAAATGGTCTCCAGTTGACCATTTTAAATTGGATCTGAAAAATAAAATGTCTAACGTATGTACCAAGTTCAAACAAAATCCATCCATAAATGCGTGATTTTGATAATTTTTCAGCACAAAAATGGTCACCATTCGGCCATCTTGAATCACACCGTGACACAAATTGATGTGCATATGTATAATATTATGCATGAAGTATGTGTGAAGTTTGATTGTGATTGGTCCAGGCATGTCTAAGATACATGTGCACGCACGCACGAACGGACCACACATATGCACAAAGGTCAAGACATAAGTCCCCTTTTTCGACCGTGTTTTTGCCAAAAAACGTAATGAATTGTATTTAGCAGTAGGGAAATAAAGTGTTGTTTCGATATAAAAAATGTTGATTTGTTGTGTGTTTTCAATCTATGTATAACAATATAACATATTATCATTATACACAAATTTTGACTAAAACCTTATCAGTTCTGTACATTATCACAAAACAATCATTGAAATATGACAATAATAGTAATAATAATACAGTTTATTGCAAATTTGTGATCATTTTTAATAATTTGTGATGCAATTTTTTTTAATCAGGTTTTAGGCGTTAAATGAAATAATATTACTGATAGAGGTAACCCCGAAACATGTGTACTATGGATATCAGCCATGTAGATCAAATTGTGATATACTGTTTATAATTTTGGGTGGATCGACTTTTCAATAACAAATGCGCATTCACACCCAGTACGATTTAGCGTTTTTTGAGAAGACGCCACCCACATCCAGACCTCAGCGGAGCTACAGTCTATTGAGATAAACAAGAGAAATAAATAAAACGTCGTCTTGCGTACCACATTACAAACATTGTGTGCGATTTAAGGGCAATTTGTGTGATCGAAAGTTTAAAACATGTTTCTTTTTTTCAGTGTCGGTCGAAATAGCTCCGCTGTCCTACAAGAGTTTGTGATAGCAATGTCAAGCAAAACACACCAATAAAACAAAACTCGGTTAATCCACACAAAAAAAGTAATATTTGGTTCTTGCTGTTAAGAACATGTCAATATATTCACAGAAAATATGTTGAAGAATTCGAAAATATAATTTTTTACAAAAAACATTTGCTAAAAATAGAGAAGTGAAAATATTGTAAAAATCTGACACAGGTCTACCCAAGGTATCTACATACCAAGTATCAAGGTGATTGAGTTGCTGGTTTGCAAAAAGTTGAAAATAGCATTTTTTACTAAATATATTACAAGAATATTTGTCAAAATAGAGAATTGAAGATATCTTGCATCCAAGGTACCTACATACCAAGTATCGAAGCAATTGTCTGTCAAAAATATAGTTGTTGACGGGCTGACGGACGATAGACGGCGACGAACAATCACTTATATGAACAGCTCTGCTTTACCATCTATAGTGACAACAGATTTAAAAATACACAATAGCGAAATTGACTGCCAGGTAGTTCCTTTGACAAAAGTTTGTACGGCATATGCACTGCCATATACATCTATATCTAATCGTTAATATCTACTCAATACTAATATCTACTGATTTCTTAATAGACCATTTTCCGTTCACTGCGAGAATCACGCGTTATGCATGAAATCGAACGTAAAACCAGGACAAACAAAGGTCATAGCGTCGTAGTGGCTCAAACATCGCGTGGGATTCGACAAACGCGAAAGTATTTCGGGGACATTTCCATGCTTAATAATGTGCTGTCCACATTTGATGATAGGCAATTTCGATTAAGTAAGGGTATTCGGAAGCAATATTCCTCTGTCGAAGATCGGCCGGTCAATGTAAGCTACGAAATAAAGAAATTCTTGTTCAAAATCAAATCGTTCGATTTTTGCGGCAGACGTTCGATGCGCATCTTTCATGCATTTCGCGAGATCTCGCAATTGTACGGAAAATCACCTATTGATAATAAATACATTAATATGTATCATATAAGATATTATTTGATTTGATTAACAAGTTCCAGAAAGGCATAGATTGACTAAACCAAATAATATAATTATAATAATTGTATGCACGTATAATATTACCCTTTGAACGCCAGGATCAATTTGTCATAAATAGATATCGTGTTTCCATATTTCATTTCAAAACACGTAAGAAAACGGACAATAATATAAGGCCTTTCAGGTTTAAGCCCTAAAAACCGGGTAATAATAATCGAGGCGTAACCATTCGGGCTTGGGCCCCTAAAAACCTGGGCAAAATAATTTATACAGAATATAATAATAGATTATATAAATCAAAGCGGGGTAGTCGTCATCTGTGCATGCGACAGCGTGTATTCGTTTACAAACATGCATCTACCCATGAGCCTTTGCATTTTTAGCCGCGTTGTTATCATCGCTTGGGACTCAATTGCCGCACATGCACAGGTGACGACCCTCCCGCTCTAATAAAATATAATAATAATGTACCTTTCTTTTTCATAGCACCCACAGTCAGACGTACCATGTCAAACGGTGCTGTTAGATTGACTTGAATTATTTCATCCCACTTATCAACTGGAAAATTTTCTAGTGGAGCATTTAGACTGGCACCTACAGTGAATTAGTTCAAAAATTATTATAGTGATATTTTCCAAATAATTAGCATTCAATAGTTACTGAGATGATGACACATACACTTGGCTAAGGGTACAATAGTTGTCTGCCAACATTGGCTACCAAACACATTGTTTTCTTCGCCTTACCGACATGTTTATAATCACAACACATAGGGAGAATATATATAATAAAAGACCATTTTGTGGGCGACTCAAAATTAAATACATACTTCCAAAATAAGTCTCAGCCAATGATTGCAATAGTGACAGCGAAAATAAACAGTAATTCATATCATTGATTGGTTGAAGAGTGAAATTTGTTTAAAAACCAACCTGCGTTGTTAACGAGTACATCAACTCCATCTGGATATAAAGCCTCAATTTTCTTTTTACACAGGTTCTCAATTTCAGATCGCTGAAGTAAATCGGCAGTTAGATAATGACATTTTACGTGGAACTCTCTGGAAACGAAAACAATGTACAATACAATACATTAAACATGGTATATCATGGCACAATTCCAGAAGACGTACCTACACTATATGCACAGGCGTGTCTGTTGGTCGTGTGCATGTTACTTGCAGCTGTTGGTACTTCGACTTGCTTTGACCATGTGATAGTCGCACAAACAATTTATTTGTTGTAATACGTATGATCGTTATTGCATGTTAGTGTTTGTGAGAAAACACATGCAAGGATGTGATTGGAACCCAGACCCACATGATCAATAAACGGACAGGGAACCCATAAGTCCATGACAGACTGACTGCTTATCTGCACATTTGATCAGAGCACACAGTATACATACATACATACATACATACATACATATATATATATATATATATATATATATATAAAGATATAATATATATGTCAATTATTCTGCTTAAGTAAATAATATGTATGCCATAACCCGTTAGTGTACATCTTGGGTATGAAATAATTTGGTTATTGGCATTTGCGTTGACCATATCTTACTCGATCTTAACCCTAATGCAAAGACATGTTTTTCTTTGATTGTGACTTGTGTAATCTCATGGAGATAATTGTAGCTCAATAATATAATACTCTCTTATTCACTGTCTGCTGGTAAGTTGGAATGATGTCAAGTAATTGAACAAGTGATGTAACCTAATTTCAAGTATTCCAATTGAGAGAATGTTCATGTGTTCATTTTGCTAACTATTTCAATGTCTTGATTAATTGAATGGGAAAGCCATTTAACGATTACTTTGGTTCCGCTGAGTTTTTATCTAGTAGGATTCGAACCCTGGGCGTTTGTAATAGTCGGTTTTTCATTTCCTGTGTTTGCCACGCCGTAATATGGGATCACTTCTCCGTTTTATTGTGATTTTGCGAGTGTTTAATGATGTCTTCATCCTGCCTCAACCATACGGCCATGTTGCAACGAAGTGTGTGACCCTTGGCATGACCCGACTGACTATATGATTGTTCTGTTTGGCACGCTAGGATTTATTACCGTTATTATCATTGGCACGTGATTTGTACCACTTTATGTGTAATATCTAAAGTATTTTAGTTGTAATTTGTATATACCAATTCGTATATACTGAACAAACGACTACGATTGAAGGGCATGTATTTTGTGACGTCACAAATTCGTGTGTAGGTACGGCTTCTGGAATTGTGCCGTGTGCATATGAGCATATGTGTGCATAGACAGTTTAAAATAAAACAAAACACTGCGACAAGAAACTAGTGGCGCCAAACTGGTTGTCCTTCTAATTGTTTTGCAAAAGACAGAATTTTAGGGCATGTATATTTTTATTTAATGTTTCAGTGTTTCGTTATTAAGCATAATTCGACAAAGAATTCGGTGAAATGATCTCATCTACTCGTAAAGAGATGTTGTTACTTTGATGATGGCCAACGAACAACTGAATAACTTCAAAATGTTCCATCCAAATCGAACTGCGCCCTCTCATGTCAATCCCACTGTACCTACTGTTTTGTTGACCTTTGCATAAACGTTAAGCAATAAACGTGCAAGCACTGTGAATTCGATAATCAGGATTGATCATACCTCTGCAACTGTTCTCTGAGAGGTTCAATTTCTGCCTCAGCTCGCCTCCCATGCAGAATAATATTGTATCCATTTTTAGCTAGACACTTGGCAATTGTATACCCAATCCCGTCACAGGACGTGGATCCAGTGATCAAAGCAACTTTACCTCCTGCAGCAGCCATTGTATCGGCGATGAACCCTGGCCTGGAGACCGCTGAGGGCAGCATTCAGATTGACAGATGTTTTTTTATCTCGTCGGTTGGGTAACTGCTTTCTGAATATTCGCAACTTCGCATGGTGTCAAACGTCGTCAAGTTAATTGTCAATGTCACTGTCTAACAAGCGGATTCGCTGGGTGTAGTATAGCAATAATATGATTTAACATTTGTGTTTTTTCAGGTTGGTTCTAATGAAATTTCGACATTGAGGATTTAAATGAGTTTTCACATTCTGAAAATATGATACACACGTACATCATATTTATATTATATTGAGTATTGAAGTTATATTGTCGGCAGAACTTTTTTGAAAGCCTTTTCAATTGTTAGCATATTTGCCACAAATAAGGTATGTAATCTAATAATAATTAGTCATTAAATTAGCCACATGTTACAAAATACCCTTGATGCCAATGTCCATATGATAGAACAAGTTAATACTTTGTTCTAGAAAGGCATTCAATAAACAGAGAATACAAAAAATGTCGCAATCGCATAATCAATATTGAGGTACATGTATAATAATTTTATTTTGATTCAGGGGTTTTCACCATTCAAACAAATACAAGATGTGTTTCTGGTGCATTTAATTCCATGTTGAACACCTAATGTAGTCTAATTGTGCTATAATTCACGTCAACCGACAACTGTCAATGGTTTCAGTATAATCAGTACAATGCATTCCCATAACACGGAAGATACATTTCATAACAACCTGTTTACATAAACAGGGTCTTGATTTCATTATAACATTTAATGCAAATAAGGTTTGGTGTAGTGGTGTGGTATAGAATTGTTGATCAGCATGAAACGTACCTTAAAGGGCTGGTGCAGTATTTTCTCGATGCATGAAATATTAGAATTAACTTTTTAGCTTAATTAGCAAAAAATATTTGCCAGCTGAAATGTCGTGTTTGAACAGTAGTTTACAGTAGCAATGCATATTGCCAGCATTTGAAGTGTTTCAAATTTGACGCTGCTAGTGATAATGAAAATCAAATAATATTTTACTTGCTGCGGCGATGTACATTTGGTATGCTCTCATATCACATGACGCAATATACTGTACACATGGAGGTTACATATATTGTTTATTTACACAAACATCAAATACATGCTACAAGTCAGTTTCACAACTTATAAATACTTGTATTACTGGGCGCTGCACTCAAGATTATTGGATCAGTAATCTGCATTACTGCTCCCATCAAACAGCATTAATATGCCCCAAAATATCTGTAGTGCATTATGGACCAACTAATCTGCACGATTTGGTCCAGCCGCCAGTATTAAGCATTCTTTCAGCATTACTCAGCCCACTTGCCGGCATCTACCGGTATACTTGCACCAGTTATTTGGTCTGCTGCCGGTGTGCAAAGAAAAGCTGCGACTTCTGCAATCTGAAATGAAAATGAACAAATCTTGCAATTAAATCAGTAAAAATATCGAATGAATCATGTGACTAAACATTCGTTTTGAAATCAATTTCGATATTCTCGATGTACATGAAACATTCATACATATACATTCATAGAACTATATCAGCAATTTTAGTACAAGATGCAATAAATAACATACCTGCTCAACAGTTACATACTGGCCAGATGGGTTCATTGCTTTTAAATAAAGTGCCTGCAAAAATGTCAATAAAAAGCAGTTGACATAATGAATGTTTGCATGAATTAATACCCATGTACAGTTATAGTTTTCAACCAGAATTTGAAAAAAAAAATGACACAAATCGCGTGAAACAGCTAGCTATATTGTTTAAGTGAATTTGAGGTTATGGTCTCATGAGCTTATATTCGACCGAGCCTGGCCACTATCATGTAATCCCAAGTATGTTATTTACGGGAGTAACTTCAGACACCTAAATTAGGGTTGAACCCAACGTCCAAGAAGAAAAATCGGGGTTGAACGATATTTTGGAGCATTAAAAATAGCTAAATTCTTGAAAGTAGGGAATTTGTCAAATAATCACGTGAAGAAGCTTTTTATATTAGACATCATATAGTACGAATATTGATGATCTTCGAGCTGTAAGTGATGTAATTAGTGCGATAACTCCTTAAATAAAATTTGTATTTGACTTACTTCACTTTCTTCAGCGGGTATCCCATCTACTTCAGCTCTTGCCTCCATCCTCTTTGTATTCACTAGCAATTTAAATTAAAACAAATATATTTTTCATGTCCCACATTTTCAGTTTCAAACTTATTTGAATATCTGAAAGCAGTTAAAACACTAACGAGCCATACTGAGGTCGTACGTCACTGTGTAATAACCAATCAATTCATCTTATCAGGTTATTTTTTTATCCAGTACGACAATTTTGAAATAAACAAAGTTACTAGTATATAGTATATGTTTTTGTTTATGTTCATACCAGTATTTGAATACTTAATAACACTGACTAATAATCGAATGTGGATTAAGCAGTCAATGTTAACACTACCCACAAATGTTTGTATTGTTTCATCCAGAGATGGGCTGTACTGCAATGCATCATTGGCAATCAAGATAAAAAATTATGTTTCAATTTTATTTTTGTGAACAAAATATTGATTTGAGTGCTGTGATGTTTAGTACTCTTGTGCCATTTAAAGGTTCCCTGTATTAGCTGAATGATTTCTACTTACTGTACAATGGTCTCAAGTCTCATGCGCAATTGAGTGACTTTTTTGTTTGTTGTTTTTGTGTCAATTTTGTCTGACATTTAATTCTACCTGCCCGATCAACATGTGTATTTCATATCACTATGTCTTTTGTGTGAGCTGTATCATTATTGAGATCAGACACAGGATATCAGAAGTGATCAGTTTCAAATGTTTATTTGAAATGACCTTTCCTCTGACACCACCAGCTATCACAGAATGGGTCTGATCTTTTGTAAGGTAATTAGTCCTTACTAATCATGTTGAATTTCAGTTTATTGAATCTAACAGGGCAGCAGTTAGGTAATTCCGCAGTTTGAATTCATTTATTTTGTTTTTATTATTATTAATTATGTTCATATTTATGGTTTCTAACTATTGTATAGGCATTTCTGCTATCAAGATACTAATAGTTTTTTTCCACATTCTTATAAAGTTATGATGTTATAAAATTTATATATGTTATAAAATTATTTGGTCCAGGTTACCAATATTTCTGTTACTAAACCAGTTTTATTTTATTTACTTTGTCTTACATTCCACGTGTCTCTAAAACCCCACGATTGAGACTCGTTTGACTAGTAGTTACTGGAATATTGTTTATTAGCCATTGGCAATTATTTACACTACACATTGCAAACGAATTGTATTGTTTTGAGCTGAAATTAAAGTTTCAAGTCTACCAATAATTTGTTGCATTACAGGGTCATCTAAGGATGACTTATACAGCAATTATTGTGTTGTTGACTAAGTATTCAAATAGTTTCAATAATTTACAGTGGCAACTAGTACACAATGGAACTAGTAGTCTCCTTTAAACTTTACTCACTAGATGTTTGAACTACGGCAGGACATATAGAGTTACAGGTTACACCAGTACCAAAGCAATCATTTGCCACTGTCTACGGAGAAATATATCAGTAAAATGTGAAACTGTAGTTTAAAAAATAAGTCAATTAATCTTGTAAAGTAACGGTAATATCACTGATAAAAAGTAACAGGCAATCACAAGTATCACTACTTTACAAGTAACCTGTAGAATGCTGTGTGGTTAATATTTTTATATTAGTTTTTGTTTTGCAGCAAATAGTTACCAAACAATGAGAAATCTATAGGATTGGATATACCTCTCAGCTGGCTTCACATGCATAGTTCAAGTCTGCCTAACCGGTACTTATACTAGATTTGAGTTTCATATTTCATATTCAGTATAAACCCTCTCTATGACACAGTTCACCGCCTCCCCAAAAAATGAAATCGGTGAATACATTATCCCTTTTTGTAAAAAAATAAATCACTGCTTTCACCTGGAGGAGAGGGGGTGCATGACACGATTGATTGAAATAAATAAACAAATTAATATTCATGAGCAATGACAAAATCGTCTTTTCAGTAAAATTGTGCCAAAATGCTTTCCAATAGCACGCATAACAGTTTCAAATTGACTGATTCTATCGTTACGAGCTGAACAAATAAACGAAAAACTGATGTAAAAGTGTTTTTTTGAGACACGGTTTTGATCCAAATTGTTGAAAGTAACCACTGTTTTTTTTTACCGTGATCATAGCAAGTTACAAAAATCATGGAGAATGCAGAGGTATATTTTTCACTCTAATACTATTAGTCAACATTTTTTCAGTGACAAGTTAATTAATATGTATTTCGATAAACCACTGTGTGTGTATGCGCAGTTTGAAATGGAATTTTTTTGAACGCAAAACAATCACACGCAGAACTCTGGCTTCAGCCATAATATTAGAGCATGTTATTATGTGATGTTTCTAAGTTTTGTTTAAGACTATTCTGTAAAGAATTCGATGACTACGGACGACTGACTTCGAAACGTCCCACCGAGATCGGACGGTGCTCTATCGTGCCAATTCTTTACTATAGTATTCTAACGAATCACGTGGTGCGCTGTTACATTCTCATTCAAACCCGGGATTTAAGCATCACGGGCGTTTCGGTAAAAAAAAACACCGCAAAGCATGCAAATTTTTAAACCAGTATACTAAAACAGAAATGCTCAGCGATGCAAAACAAGGATAGATATTACTTTTCAGTATACACATTTCTGTTGATACATTCCATAGCCTCTTTCCACGTAAATATTTTGAGTAATTTCACGCGATAGGCTGTTAAAATTGGCTGTTACATGCTCTTCTGACGGTCTGGAAAATGTGTTTAATTAGCTCTCATTCAAGTAACAATGTAGATTTCCCAGTGGGAGTGAAACTGGTTCGACTCTGCCATTAGAAAGTAGGGGTGTTTTCAGCAAAAAACAAATAACCCTTGAGTGCACACAATACACTGAATTTTAGAACAAATCTTGCATTAGTTACAGCAGCAGAATATCACAGAAATATCAGACGAAACATAAAAACATTACATATTTTATTTCAGCCTGAACCCTCTCTATTGCAATTCCAAGGATTACCCCCATATGTGCAACCATTTTCTACCTTGGTTTCACCAAACCTCTGAAGACAAACTCTTAATACCACGCTAAAGCGTTTGGTAATGAATAACCATGTCTTTTCCAAGATTATCGACTACTAGGATTTAAAAGTCAACAAGCATTAAAAATGCACAGTCCCCATTATATATCAAATGACAAAGTCCATAATTAAATGTTGGTTAATTAATGGTACCGGTGCTAATTCAGATGCACGCAATGTCACTAATATAATTGACGAATAAGTAATCGGCAACGCAAGAATAAGTACTTTATGAATGACCATGTGATTTCCCAGATTAAATTTGAAACAAACCTCTACTGGGTCAACAAGCATTGGCAATGCACAGTCTAGCAAGTAAGACAATTTACCTGGGTTATACTTACTTTTGTCAATCCGTCAAGACCATGTTTTGCACAGTTATATGCTACAAAGGTCTTCACCACTTTCTTGCTAAGTATAGAGGATATATTTATAATACGACCCCACCCTGGCAAACAAACCCCAAATACAATAATGTAACAACTCATGAAAAAAAAAACGAATTTGGAACTGGTCTGTGATTAAGAGATTTTACTGTAAAAATCTACACATCATTTCAAGGTTTAGATATGGGCGAATACGGTACTCCATATGTAGTAGCATTGTCTGCCCAAGGAATTATGTGACGGCCAGAAACGCATAGATTGACTCAACCAAGTTATATTATTATGATGAAACTATACAGTATAATATTATATTACCATTTCAACACCAAGGGCAACTTTTGTCACTTTTCACGATTAGACATGTACATGTACTATTTTCCACATTATCTTTTGCATAATTAACAGTTGTAATGATAGTCTATGTACGTTAAACAAATAAACTAATATAATGATAGACTATGTACATTAACAAATAAATAAATATAATGATAGATACATGTACCTTTCTTTTTCATGGCTCCAACAGTCAGACGCACCAAGTCAAACGGTGCTGTTAAATCGAGCTGAATTATTTCATCCCACTTATCAACTGGAAAGCTCTCTAGTGGAGCATGTACACCGAAGCCTGCAGTAAAATAGATGAACAATAGTTATATTCCCGGAATGAATATCACAAAATAGTTACTGTGACGATTACACATACACGTTGGCTAATGGTATAGTGTTTTTGGTAGCACAAATGAGGAGAAATAATAAAAGACCATGTTCAGATTCTAATCTGTTAAACATACATCTATTTAATACACATATTTATTCAAATTTTCTGAGTGACTCAAAATTAAATACTAACTTTAAAACTGTGGCCAATAAGTGAATGCAATAATTACACAAATATAGAACAAGCAATTATTATTATGGGTACAATTAGCAGATGTAATACATCAATACATGTGGAAAGAGAAAACGTACAGGAATTGTAATGCACATTGTATGAATGCAGCCTTTCAGGCGTTTCCTTATCATTGATTGGGCGAAGAGTGAAATTTGTTGCGAAACCAACCTGCGTTGTTAACGAGAATATCAACTCCATCTGGATATAAAGCCGCAATTTTATTTTTACACAGATTCTCAATTTCAGACCGCTGAAGTAAGTCGGCAGTTAGATAATGACATTTTACGTTGAACTCCCTAAAAAAACAACAAGAAAAAACAAGGTACATTTTTATCTTCGATGCATTTCATATCATTAAAACACAAATTCACAACAAAACTGTGATTCTAGTAGTAGATTTGGTTTTGGGTTATAACATGCTGTATTATTTTACACCATTGCAGTTAATCAAGGGAATGAATATATATCTCCGATTATTCAAGACTTATTTTGGTGTAAACATCATTTCAATTGTTGTAATATGTACAAACTTCAACATTGTATTGCACATTTAAAATTCATGAAATGTTGAATAATTAACTCCTGAGGTCGAACCATATAAGTATAATATCAAGAAAGCCTTCGCCTTGCCTTGGGATTTTTTTAAAACTTTCTAATCACCTTTGAACAAAATGTGCACTTTCTTATTTTCATTATTTTAGTTTAGTTAGTTGATAATTTTGTTTTACCGAATATATGCTTGTTTACTAACCTACAACGTTGGTCACAGAAAGATGTTGTATTACTGCATTACTTAAACATCATCAGTCCTATTTCCAGGTTCAATTGCTTTCCACCTTTTACGTTCCCCTACCTTCATTCCATGTAGCTCTGAGCGAGTTTAAAAAATGAATTTCCAGTTCAAGTTAATTTTGTTTTACCTCGATGTACTCTAGTACGATACCTGGCGTTGATTAGAGCACGTTTTCTTCCCACTGCTTCAATGCAATTTTAATACAATTCAATTAAATTCAATTAATATGCATTATCCTTTAAAGGAAAATGCAATGTTATATATGAATTACATTACACTTACAAGTTTAATTTAATTTAACTGGTACATATACATATATTAGGTATAGAGTATATCAACCTAATTTGTTTATATTGACTTCAATATAAACTTATTTGCATAATATTTCAAATCCTTTTTAGCTCGCTATATTTCTGCGAGGATGACAAATCGCAAATAGTGAAATTATACTGGCATCGTGGTGACCATGACCCCATGGATTATAAGAATCGAGTTTAGGCTCATTCTTAATAAATCTAGCTCAAAACTAAAAACGAAATATCTTCACAGTTTGTCTACAACCCCCTCCTCCCAGAGTGCATTATGATAAAAAATACATTAAATATATATGGTTGGCTCATTGGGTTGAGCATGCAAGCGGAAAGCCTTCTGAACCTAACCTTGTCACTGACCACAACTTTAACACTGCAGCCCCTCTCAATGTTATTAAATATGCTCCTCCAAATAATTATACAGACGGGCATAAACAATTGAAATTAGCGACAAACACTGAAGGGGCAGGATTATAGATGGATTATGATTAGGATTAGAGGTGAAGGGAATTAAATATGTCTTACTCATCCGGGCACAATCATGATCTGGTGTGATTGATTACATGTCAATTGATCGCCACTGTTGGGTCGGAGTTCAATAAATCAGGATACTTAATTCCTGATTCCCGACGTACAATGATAACGACCTTAACGAAAAGGTTTTCGAAAGGTCATAAAATGATTGTAGGTGTGTACAAACAAGAACAGCAAGTAGAACTAGACTGAACTCCAGAAGACGTACAGACACACCAATTAGATGACCTTCAATCGAGGTCGTTTGTTCGATATGTACAAATTGGTATGTAGAAACTGAAATGAAGACGCTTAAGACAATACTAATACGCTGGAATGAATCATGTGATATATAATAATAATAATTCAAATGGATGCTTTCTTTAGTATTAAACCATATAAGGGTTGCTAATTGATCTTTTGAACTTCCGCCCCCAAAACATATACATCGCCCATTTTAGAATGTATTGACCCAGAAAAGAGATGGTACTGTGTAAATAAACATGAAAGGTTTTGAGGGCATATTTCATGCTACAAGACACGTGAATGAGCAGTGTGTCTTGCGACTCTGGGCGTTTTGAGCTTACAAAATCTGTCCTATCTTTAGGGAGTGTATGACACAATTTGCTGAAAGAATCGCCTAATTTGTATGTATTAATATTGATGAGCAATAAACAAAACTGTTGATTATAGTGCAATTCATGATAATGCAGTGGCATGTTTATATTTCACTTTAGTGCCATTGCTAACAATTGCATGTTTTCAATATTTACCAGTGAAAAAAAAAATATTGAGCAATTGGGGAAATCGCTGTTTATGCATAGGTAGTTTAAAATGATACAATTCTGAAGGCAATATAATCACGCACACAATTCACTGCTGCAAGAAACTAGTGGCAACAAACTGGCTGTCGGTTGAATTGTTTTGGTACAGACAAAAATGTTATGGCTGTTTATTTGTAATTAATGTTTCGTTGAGCATTATTCAAATCGCTGAAATGATTTCATCTACTCGTAAAAGACAGCTTGTTGCTAAAACGATAAACAAGCAAACGCTGTCAATACGAAAATCAGGATTTATCGTACCTTTGCAACTGTTCTCTGAGAGGTTCAATGTCCGTCTCAGCTCGCCTCCCATGCAGAATAATATCATA